GAATGGGAGGGGGGGGGCATTTAGTTCAATAAGGCCTCAGTTGTTGGGGCGCCTGGTTTTTTATTTGCAAGAGTGTCTGACTCTTTGTGGGGGAAAGGGTCTGTGTGGTTCCTTCAGTGTCCTTGGACATGTAGGTGGTAAGAAGGAGGGGTGTGTACTACTGAAAGAAGGGCCTCTTGTGGGGGCCAATTCACTGCTGGATCTTCAGACAGACGTCTCCCACCCCCACGAAAGAAACTTTATGGCATTCATGTGTTAGGGGTGTGTTGGGGGTGCGCTGCTGGGCACTTTTATCTGGCTACATCTGAACTGAGAAAAAGCACCCAGAAGGCTAAGGCAGCTGCCTTGCACTGGAATATTCTTTGGTTTTCAGATCTTGAACCCCATGAAAGGGGTACCTCTGATTCTCTGTAGCCTCATCAGGATTATCCAAGATGGGAAGCGTGGCGCTTTTGCACCCCACTTCAGCCTGTTGGTCCCAAGCCTACCCTTCTGCTGGGCTCTAAGTAGGGTCCTGAGATCAGAGTGGGGAGCGGACAGAGCTGCAGTGGGCTGAAGCGGGGAGCTTCTCCCCCTGCCTAGAGGGGTTAGATGCTGAAGTAGGTCCCCGAAAATCCTTCCACAAATAAAACTTGCTCAAGAAAGGAGACCCAACTGTCCGGAGGGATAAAAGGGACTCAGGAGCTGGGAGAGAAAATCGGAAAGGTGCTTTCTTTCCCGTCCTCTCCTTTTCTCCTCTCGCGCTACCAGATCCTTAAATGCCCTTTTGTTTTGTGGCACCACAAACCAAAGGGATTTCATTATTTGACCCTCAGGAGCCTGTTATTTTCCAAGGAGAAGTCACCCTTCCAGAAACCAGAGGCCTCTTCTCCACCAAATTGACCCCCCAATTTTGAGGCTTATTGGGTCAACCACCTTGTCACTCCAGCTTTTGCCAGCCTGCCAGCTCTTGCTTCCGCTGACCAATTCCTGTGGATAGTGCCTGGAATTGGACATGTGGCACCTTAAGAAGCTTCTGGTCTTTGGAAAAAGGAGAGGGTCATAAGATTCCCTCCATTCCCCCTTAAAGGACTTCTCCCTCTCTCCCTCTGTCCCCACAGCTACCCTCTGCTTCCTGAGCTCTTCAATCCCTGCACAGGCCTGACTTACAGGAGAGCCTTCACAGAAAGGACAGAGAGCTCGGCGCCCTCCCCCTGATTGAAGACCCATCACCCCAAGAATGATGGGGCATTTGTACACTTTGGAAAGGAGGCTCTTCTCCCAAAAGATTCCCAGCAGCATATCAAATACTAATACATGTCGGCCAGAGCTTCCACCGGCTTCCGCTGTGGATAAGGCAGATGAGTTGAGTGAGGTGCAGAGGAAGCTGCCTCAGGGGCAGAATCCGACCTGGGGCCTCCTGGGAAGCCCCATCCTGTGGCGAGCCTGCCTCCCCTCTCCCAGAAACGCCAGCCCACCAGGCCTGCGTCCCTGCAGACTTTTTGGCCCTCTCCCACGTCAGTTCTGCAAATTCTGATAAAGAGTGTGGGACCTACGGCCCAGGGACATGTGCTGGGCATATCTAGACAGATTTTCCGGAGTGGTAAAGAGCAGCCCGGAGCAGGCGGATTGCCCATTTCCGCTGCGGAGGCCAAAGCGCTTGGAAGGTCTTCTGCTCTAAGCGGGTCCCGGAGAAGACGCTCTCGCTGGGCTTTCCTCTTCTCCCCTTGAGTAACCGTCTCTGGACAACAGTCTCCCTTGAACCCCAACAGGGACCTGTTTGAGGAGGAGATGAGAGGTGAGCAGGGGTCTCTGGTGCAAGGGAGCTCTGTCCTCTGCCCCAGACCCCCACCCTCCCCTCCCACCTTCCTCAAGACATTCTCCAGGTCTCGCTGGGACTTTTCACTCCCTCCTCTCCTACCAGCGACCGCGGCTTCCTCTCGATTCAGGCCTCAACCTTCTGAGCTGCCGGCTGGTGCCATCTGGCCAGATCCTTGCGCCCAGCCTCCCAGCCAACAGCGCGCCCTCACCTCCGGGCAGGGCCCAGGAGGCGGCAGCAGGACTTTGAGGCTGAAGTTTCCCTTTCCCCCTTGGAGGCCAGCCTGACCATCACTCAGTAGACAATTTGATTGTTTTGTTTTATTTGGTTGTGTTTTTTGTTTGTTTGTTTTGTGTTGTTTCTCCTTGGCCACAGGGGTGGGAGGAAGTATAAAGAAGTGTAAACAGGAAAGCCAGCCGGCCTGGAGTTCCGAGGGCCCATATTTCATTGGCTTCCTTTCCATAACTGCAGCCGGGACACTTAACCCTTCCCTGGCTGTGAGAAGGTATTCACTGGGGGCTGGTGAGGCAGGGTGTGGGGAGGAGAGCCAAGTCGGAAGCTCCTTTCTGGCCCTGATCCCTTTATCCCTGGGGTCTGGGTGCCGGGGTGGAAGGCCGAGGATTCAGAGCAAGGGAGAAGACAGGCAGACGGCACTGTGCAATCAGTCCCTGCGGGGACGGAGAGGAGAAGGCTCATGCACTTCACAGCCTGGGGCCAACCTGGGCCCACCAGGGAGGACAGGGCTGGCAAGAACCCCTCCCTTCGGATAGGGGCGAGCCTACTGGTCACTCTCTTCATTTTGGGAGATTCTAGGAGTAATCAGATTTCAGGCTGGGCTCTGCCCACAGCGGGATTTATCGATCACTGCAGCACTGTTACACATCCATATTAATTAACCCAGACACCGCCTAGAAACCAAGGAGGGGGAGGGGAGAACTAGGGGCTCCTTAAGGAGTAGGGACAAATCTCTCTGAGCGTCCCTGGGGCCCAGATTGGAGAGTCATTCCCCACGAGAATCCTATGGCCTTCCCCAGCTCAGTTCCTGCACTTCTCAGCAGGGATAAGTGAGAGGTACTCTCTACAGTCCACCTCACACCAAATCTCCTGGGGGCGGGGAGGAGAGGGAAGGAATTAAAAACCTACCCCCAGGACCGACGGACTTTTCCTGGTCAGAGTTAGGGTGCCCCAGCCCTCGAATGGACGGATTTTTTGATACTTGTTCCCTGCTTGACCTTTATAGAGGGGGCAGTGCCCCTCCCCACCTTTTTTTCAACTTCCCCAAGGTAGAAGCTTTTTCTGGTCTGGAAGCTTGTTTTGTTTTAGTGTTTGGTGGTGGTGGTGGTGGTAGCGATGGCCTATCCCTTCCTCCTGCCCCTCCCTCCAAAAAGTGATTAAAATCTGTTAAAGGATTTAATTAAGAGAGTTAAATGAAAATGAAGGAGGCGCAAATGAGTTGGGGAAGAAAACCCACACCAAAGCTATTCTCAACGATTAAATCGCCATTTTAACAATATAATGGAGTTTGCATCCTGAAAGGGGAAATCAACGCTCATATCTCATCAATAATTCATAGAGTTCGGGATCACGCAGAGGTCAGCAGACAGGGCCAGAGCGCCGGCCTATGTGGGGCTGCCAGCCGCTGCCGCATACATTATTCGCCGGGTGCCAACCGCTACCTCCACCGCTCAGCCCCGGGCCGGGGCAGGCCGGCAGGTTTAGACAGATTTTGCGTTCTTTCATTTTGGAGAATTTACTGAGACCACATTTCGGGCTCCAGGAGGAGATGGGATTTAGGAGACGGAAAGGATTGAACTTCAGGCAGTTGGGGATCCGTCCGACTCCCAATATGACCACCTTCCCAAACTGTAATCTCTCTTCCCCTTATTTCTCCTCCCTTTCTCTGTTTTAGGCGCCCCCTTCCCTTTCTCTTCTCTCCTTAACTTTCCTCTTCGAAAGGAAAATGCACTCTCTGCAGCTTCTTCTAGCTTTTCCTGCCCGGAAATGCTCGCTTTCAGGCTGCCCCCCCCCCCCACCCCGCTGCGCTCTGGCCTTGCTCTCTGAGTGGATTGGGGCTGATCCCCCCCCAAGGCTGTGGCCTTGGCTGCCGCCTGGAGCTCGAGCTCGGAGGCCCCACCTTGGTGACAGGGATCCCGAACCTCAGAACCCTGTGGGCTAGAGATGGCTGCATCGGGGGAGAAACGGTGCCTAGCCAAGGGGTGATCCAGGTCAGGTGGAAAGGAGGGAATTCCGCCCGGAAAGCAGCATCTAGGGGAGAAGTGGAGGGAGAGTCCCAGCAAGTGGGAACCTGTCATCTAGGGGAGCTGGAGGCAGCAGGGAGGATAAGCCCTATCTGGCAGCTTTTCTGCAGGCTTGTTCCATTTTTGTCTTTCTCTCTGGATGTTTCTCTAACTCGCTCTCTTTCTTTCTGTTTTCCGACTCTCCAAGGCCCCTAGGGAAAGAGGAATGAAACCCTTCCTTGGGAGAGATGAGGAGCCTGGGACGAAATATTTGCGCGCAGGGGGAACCCAAAGAGCACAGGTTGCCCGCGCGGCCGCTGCGCCGGCCGAGAGGCACAGGCTGTAACGTCCCCGAGCTGCCAGTAGAGTCCGCCTTAGACCAAGTTCACAGCCAGGCTGGGGCCGCGGAGGCGCCAGCGAGCGGCGGCCGCGCAAGGTGACCCGGAGCCCGCTGGGCCTCGCCTGGCCCGGACCCTGAGCTCTCTCTTTCTCTCCAGCCCTGTGGGGACTGTCGCCTCCTCCGCTCGCAAGGAACTCTTGCTCCAGAAATACCCTTCCTTAGGCCAGACCATTCGACCGCTCCCCAAACGTCTCCTTGCCAGCAGTCGCCCCCCCCCCCACTCTGGGGGACAGGAGTGGGGAGAAGGGGGTCATCAAAAGCTCTTCCAGGCATCCTAACAGGAGGCCGGTGAAAATGCGGGATGGGGGGTCGATGCGGGAAGGGGGCTGGCGACTTCCCCCCCAGACGTTATTTAATAATCAAAAGACTCCTCTTCCCCAGGTCTAAGGCCCCTAGTGTGTGTGGTGGTGGTGGTGGTGTGGGGTGTGTGTTGGGGGGGGGGGGGTTAGGGGGAGGGGCAGGGAAGGGGGTTTGCGCTGGGGTTGCTGCAGCCAGCGCAGCAGAATGGAGACCTGGGGCGGTGAGGCCAGTGTTATTGCCGGA